CACTAGAGCTGGGATTCAAACCACAGTCATCACGTGGGATCCAGCTCCCTATGCATAATGCTTACCTGTGCACAACAGGGCTGGCCCAATGTTCTTGCATTTTAACGTTACTAGGATTTAATGAAATGCTTTGATATTGATTGAAATTCAGACAAAACTGTGCTTTTCTTTTTTGGGGAAGAGATTTTGTGCTATAGGGTGCATGAGCTCGCTGGAAAGACAGGGAAGGAAAGACATAAAGTGAGAAATCACCCCTCAGGGGGATGGTCATGCTGCAATTCCTCTTCTTCCATTCTCCTCTTGGGATTTTGGACACCTGTGCACACAGTCCCGGCATGAGTTACAAGTTGCTGGGTCCCAGACATGAACCACAGTTGGCCATGTGAGAGTCCAGTGCCTTAACTACCATGCCACTGGTTGGCCTGAGTACTGTGTTTTCAACACTAAATAAATTTAACCTTGCATAACCCAGCCCAAAACCTTTTTCAGATCTAAATATGCTGAACATATTCCGAAGAAATAAAATTTAAGTTCCCTAAATTATGGAGTCATTTTTCAATGGGAACCCTGATAACAAACATTACAAGACTTATGAGAACTATTTATTGTCTAATAAACTAAATTGGATGCACAGATCACTTATCTACATGGAATACAGTGACAAACACCAGTAAACAATCTTTTTATTTTATTTATGAAGAGCACTTTTCTTTATTGAGTCATCTGCCAATTCATCTTACACTTTAAAGTAGACTAAAATGTGTAAACTTACAGTTAGTTACTTGTTTAGAAAAACCTCTCTTTGGCACCTAATCAAAAAGGAGGAAGGGAGCCTGTAAAAGATAATTCATTCAACAAAGAAAAGTCTCAATCACCACCAGTTCCAGCAGTGAAAAACAGAGCCCAGCAAACTCAGACTAACACAGTACATTTTCCACTGAAAAACAGTAGCCATGAAAACAAGAACTTGATCTCGAGAGGCAGTCAAACGGAGTCATCACCTGAGATAGCTGAACTATCCCATTTTATTTCCTATGTCCGAACAAATGAGATCTATTACCTTGATCCAGATGCACCCTTGTCTAGGCCCTCAACTCAGGATCAAAATTCTCATGCTTCAGCCTGTGACCAAGAACAGCAGTTCTTTGATTCTGACCATGTCAGGGATCCACTTCTTAATCCTAGCTTGGTGAAAAACAGGGATCGACAGCAAGCAATCCTTAAGGGACTTTCAGAACTGAGGCAGGGCCTTCTCCAGAAGCAAAAGGAGCTGGAAACTAATCTCATGCACATCAAGAAGAGAATTTTCGTTTTTTGTTTTAAATGTAGATAACCAAATTTGAGTCTCCCAAATTATAAAATGTGCTTATTGTTCAAACTGTATTTTTCAATAGTCTCAACTTTTCCAATGCTTATTAAAAATTTGTATATTATGTAGCAAAAAAAACCCAAAAAACAAAAACCTCTCAAGTACAATATTTTACAGTTATTTATTTATTTATAGAGATTTTTGCTATAGGTCACATGTATTAGCCAGAGAAAGAGAAAGCAAGAACTCCCCCTTCCCAACCTAGTGAGGATTGCCATGCCGCAATCCCTTCTCTTATACTCCTCCTGGGATTCTGGGCATGCATATGCATGTGTCCAGCGTTAGTCTTAAGCCTCTGGATCCGAGAATCAAACCATGGTTGACCATGTGGGAGCCTAGCACTTTGACTACTATGCCATCTTCTGGCCCCTACATTGCTTTTAAAGCTTGGTTGTACACTTTATTTTCTTTATGAATAGAAGTGAAAGTGTTATATTTCTAAAAAAAGTTACAAGAATAATGATTAAACTCATATTCTTCCTTCTGTTAAACAACCTACAGAGCTGAACTACAGACTAGTCAGACAGATCTGGAGGTTCAACAGTCTCTGGGCAATGATAGAGATTTGGAAAAGACTGATTAATTTTTTTTTTTTTTGAGAGGTTTTTGCTATAGGGCATGTGCGCTCGCCAGAAAGACAGAGACAGAGAGAAAGCAAGAAATCCCCCTCCAGGGGGGATGGCCATGCCGCAATCCCTTCTCCTCCATTCCCTTCTTGGGATCTTGGGCACGCATGCACACGCAGCCAGCATGAGTCTAAACCACTGGGTCTGGGACGCGAACCGTGGTCGACTACATGGGAGTCCAGTGACATAGCCATTATGCCATCTGCTGGTCCCAAGACAGATTAATCTTAAGAACTAAACGAAAACTAAGAAAATCCAGTCCCTCGATAACAGATTGATGTGAGCAGGTCAGAAACTTTGACACTGGCTTATTCGAGTTGAATGTGTATTTTTCTTCCCAATTCAGCATCCAGTGCCTTTACCTTGGAAGTTTAATATGGTGAGTGATGGTGAGAGTATTTATACCAACACCGGCCAAAAAGAAAGGAAGCGAGTGAAAGGGAAAGCATCTCCCAGTGGGGGCACAGTCATGCTGCAATTCTTTTTCCTCCATTTTTTCATCCTATCAGGATTTACGACAAGCCACTGGAGCTGAGATACAAAGAGTAATCAGCTGACTCCCTTAATCACTGTGCTACAGGGACAGCGCTCCATGAACTTTTTGAAGACCCAGTGTAGACAGCAAAATGCACAACTCGTAAAGCACAGATTGGTAAGTACTGACAAGTGGATATACTTGTGCAGCCCACATGCCTATCAAGCTATAGAAGTGCACTGTTGGGGTTAAGGCGCTGGACATGCTCACATGGCCAACCATGGTTTGAGTCCTGGACCTGGTGGTGGCTTGCTTTCTTTCTCTCTTTCTTGTCAAATTAAAATAAAATGAATGAACAAAAATAAATAAATAAATAAATAATTCTTTAAAAAAAAAAAGTGCACGGTCTATCTAGTAGCCACTTGCCATGTGTGTCTATTTAAATCTAAATTCACTAAGACTAAATGAAATCAGAAATCTAGTTCTTTGGTTGCACTAGTCACATTTCAAGTGCTCCTCAGCTAGATGCTACCATCAGAATATGCTCCTCAATGTGGAAAGGTCTATTATACTGTTATAGAAAGGTCTATTAATACTGTCATAAATATTTTTACCATCTCAGTTCCTTCATGTCCTTTCACAAATTCCTTCTCACTAAAACAAACGAAAAACAAACAAAACAAAAAAACTACCCCCAAACAAAAAGCTACTATTCTGAGTACTATCACTATACATTAATATGGCCTGTTCTACATTTGGATAAATGCAATCATGTGTTCTTTTATATCTTGCTGCTTACGTCAGCACAAACGTTTTTGGCAGAATGTTTCTGTGACTCATCCATGCTGTCACTCACATTACTCATCTATTTCTTTTAAGTTTTCGGTAGTGTGCTGGAGCCTGCTCATGTTGGCTAATGATAATTGAGTTTGCACATGCAAAGCTCTTCTTAAAATCTCAGTTTGCTCCTTGGGGCCAGCAGGTGGCAAGGTGGTTAAAATGCCAGATTCCTCTAAGATTGACCTTGTCGAGTCCTAGACCTGGCAGATTGAAAATCATGATGGGGGGGTGTGTGTGTGTGCATGCACCCAAAATCTTGAGGAGAATGGAGTAGAAGGGATTGCAGAATGGCCATCATCCCAGGTGGGGGGTGATTTCTCACTTTCCCTCCATCTCTCTCTGACAAGCATATGCACCCTATGGAAAAACCTTAAAAAAAAAAAAAATCTAAGTTTGCTAACCTTACATTGGTAGCTTGAACTCAGCCATGGTGGAATTTATACCATAACAAAATTGCTACAAATCTAAATTTTTTTTCCTGAGGGTCATGCATGAAGTGTTCATGAAGTGTTCACCAATGTACCATTAACTCTTTACCTTCATCAACAGTGATAACAGCAGAAAGAACCATAGGTTTGCAGAATATTTGGGGAGAAAAGGGCCTAGCTATTATCAGTTCAAAAATCTAGTTATAAAATAAAACTTCTCAAGTTTTTCTCTTTGGTTTAAAATTTAGCTTCAACGAATAATTTCCCAATCTCAAGAGAGTAAGATGTCCTTTCTGGAATTTTCATCTGATTTCTTCATCTGACTTGTGTCTATCAAAAAAAGTTCAGGGAAAGGAAAATGTTCTGCCTATAATGTCACGGGATGCCACTGGACATATTCTCCATGATTCAGGCTTGCCAATAATGTCTATCAGGAGATAAGGAAAAATGGCACAACCTTATAAAATATATCAAGATCCTGTGTCTAGACAGGCTGGTATTTGCAACCCAATAAGGTGCTAACTGCTAGCGGTTCCTCTCAGAACTAGCTCTATGTAATCATCCCTAGATACTGCTCCCATTCCTTCTCCTACATATCACTGTAAATGTTTACTACTCTTCCCAAGCCGGAAATAATTTTAACTCTTGATAATAGAAGACATTAGGTGTCACCTTTACATTCTGCTAATTATGTTGAACTACAGGTTGAGATTCCTACTTCAATCTGATCTAAAATGTTCTCAAATCTGAAACTTTCTGAGCCACAGTGGAAAATTACATAACTGATCTTAAGTGATGGATCTGATATTTTAAAATATTGAGGGCAGTTACAGTGCTGAAAGCAATGGGGTACTATAGGGTGAAGCTGGGACCCCATGGGGGGCCTAGGTCAGCTCTTAGAACATTGCGAATAGGTAGTGCACACCTGGGTTAGACTAGGGCAGAGGATCACAATGGTAAGCCCTGGTCAAAAACGCCTACCTTCTCTCTCTCATAATGAAAAAAAAAAAAGAAAAAAAAAAAAAAAGTAGGGCCAGATGATGGAATGGAAGTAGCTAGATCTCACATGGCTGACTGCATTCAAATCCTGGACCTGGAGGCTTGAAAAATACGTGGGTACACGTGTGCATGCCAAAGAGAATAAATGAGAAGGGACTGCAGCATAGCCAACCCACTTGGTGGATGATTTCTCACTCCCTTCTCCCATCTCTCTAGTCAGATGTATGTACCCTAAAAACAAAAATAAAGAAAAACAAGGAAAAGTGCTAGCCTCAGCAGCACACGTACTAAATTTGAACGATATAGAGAAGATTAGTATGGTCCTTGCGTAAGGATGACATGCAAATTTGTGAAGTGTTCCTTATTTTTAGCAGGTGGTGTGGTGGTGAAGATGTTGGAATCCCACATGGCTGACCATGGTTTGAGTCCAGGAACTGGCGGCTTGCTTTGTAGCTTTCCCCTTCTCTCTCTGATCAAGTTAAAAAATAATAGTAATAACGAATGGAATTAAATTATAAATAATCCTTAAAAAAGGATTTATTTAAAAATATTTTAAAAGGATATATTTTTAAAAAGGAAAGAAAGAAGGAAAAAAACTGCAAAATTACCTTCATGCGATGTATATAAGGTCTATATGAAACAAACGAATTTCATGTTTAGACTTGGGTTCTAACCCAAAGATATCTCATTATATATAGGCATTATATAAAGGCATATATTCCAAAATCCCCAAAAAACTGAAATCCCAAACACTTTTGGTCCTATGCATTTTGGATAAGGGCTACTCAACCTGTACCAATTGTTCTTCCAAACAAAGAAAGAATCAGTATAGCTGTTTTTGAGACAAGATGAGAGATCATTCAATTTATAAACATTACATCATACAGCTTCAGAGGACACTGTTTCTACTCTTGTCTATGCAAATGGTACCTGCTCGACATGGCCTGTTCACAGACCACGACACTATTTATACTTCCTCGGATGACCTAGAAACCACATACAAACCCATCAGGCCACAGCAGTCAGTACTACAAGGCTGGTGTCATTAATTGTGTGGTAACTGAAGTCTCGACATTGGTTACATCTGCACAGAAGAATTTGTGTCATGCTAGTTAATTCTCAGAAAAGATAAAATAATGCCAAAAAAGTCTCTACTTCTAATGTACTTTCTGAAAGCGCTGCTAGTGATTCACCAGAGATAAAAGAAGCAATGACTGCCTCATAGCTCAGACATCAATTTGTCTATTTTAAGACCTCATTTTAGACAACATAAGTAAATGTTTTATGTGGGCTATGAAACATAATATAAATATTAACAATTTCTATTTTTTTAAAACCATAGTGGCTGCTAATAAGGAAGGGGAAAACCCCCATAAACGGCATGTCTGGGGGTAAGGGTCACATATTCTGATAGCAGTGGTATACTCAGAGCAAAGGGAACATACTCTTTTTTTTTTTTTTTTTGAGAGGTTTTTGCCATTGGGCGCGTGCGCTCGCCAGAAAGACAGAGAGAGACAGAGAGACAGAAAGCGAGAAATCACCCCCCAGGGGGGATGGCCATGCTGCAATTCCTTCTCCTTCATTTTCCTTTCGGGATCTTGGGCATGAGTGCACATACGCCCGGCATGAGTTTAAGCCACTGGGTCCGCAACTTGAACTGTGGTCGGCTACATGGGAGTTCAGTGACATAGCCATTACGGTAACTGCTGGTCCCAAAGGAACATATTCTTGATTAAACACTGTCTCTTCCACTCCCGACAAGCAGGTGTCTTTTTCTTTCTTTCTTTTTTTTTTTTTTTTTTTTTGCCATACGGAATGTGTGCTTACCAGAGAGAGACTGAGACACAGAGAGAGGAGCCATCTCCAAGAGGAGATGGCCAAGTCACAATCCCTTTTCCTCCATTCTCCTCTTGGGAGTTTGGGCATGCATGCACATGGGCCCAGCATGCTTTTCAAGCCACAACCATGAAGTCAGCTATGTGGATGCAGTGCCTTAATCTCCTTGGCACCTGCTGATATATTATTATTTTTTGGTGTGTGTGTGTTTAATTTATTTTATTTTTGTCACAGGGTATGTGCATCATGCTGGAGAGAAAAAGACAGATAACAAGTGAGAAATCACCACCCAAGGATAGCTGCTCCACAATCCCTTCTCTGTCATTCTCTTTTTGGGATATTGGGCAAACATGCACACATGCTTGGAGTGACTTTCAAGCCACCGGGTGCAGGACTCGTACCAGTCAGTCAGTCATGTGAGAGTTCAGCGACTTATCCACTACGCCACTTGCTGACCCCAACAGGTTTATTGGTTTTAAAGATATGAAAACAGAAACATCTTTTATACCTTTGGAGACAGTCATGGGTATAAGAGTTGACATTTTTCAGAATTTAAATATGGATGGGAAATTAGGAAATGTGAACACTTTATCTAACATATCCAGAGACTAGGGAGTAATTCTAGCCATAAAAACTAGATTTTTTTTTTTTTTTTGAGAGGATTTTGCTATAAGGCACGTGCGCTTGCCAGAAAGACAGAGAGAGACAGAAAGTGAGAAATCACCCCCCTGGGGGGATGGCCATGCTGCAATCCCTTCTCCTCTGTTCTCCTCTCGGGATCTTGGGCACACACACACACACACACACACGCACACACACACACACACACACACACACACGCCCAGTGTGGATTTAAGCCACTGGGTCTAAGGCTCAAACCATGGCCGACTACATGGGAGTCCAGCAACATAGCCATTACACCAATTGCTGGTCCTGTGAAAACTAGATTTTCTTGATTAAGCATTTAAAAATTTAGTGAAAAGAAATGGGTTTAATTGTTTAATTATTGAAACTTAGCAGGAAGCCCATTACACCAGGTACTCAATAAGTACTTGTAGATGACTGACAGTAGAACTAAAAAGACCTCTAGCAATCAAGTATATTTTCTGGTAATTTTTATATACTAATTATGCTATATTTTATAATAAAATAGAAACTTACATATTTCTTAGGTATTTTCTTAGCGGCTACCGTGAGGATCACAAGTAACCTCTTAAATTTATAACACCCTAATTTGAATAGACACCAACTTAGCTGGGACAATACATAAAAACTCTGTTTTTACAGAGGTCTTCCCTCCTCCCTTTATGCTACAAATTATATCTTTATAGGGTTGGCCATGACAGTGTATTCTGGACACTGCAGCTCAGCAGGTTGAGGTCACATGGGAGTCCCATGTTTGATTCCAGGCCAATCTTAGAAAGTGGGGTGCAGAGGTCCAGGATGGAGGTCCCAGCTGAGGAGGACTGTGACCAGTTGAGACTGTTGTAAAATACCACACACACACACACGTTTTATCTTTTTCTTTTAAAATATGTTTCCTTACTTATTTTAGAATGTGTGCATGCACACATGAGAATGAGAGAAAGGGAAGAGAAGACAAGATGCTCTCCAGGGTCTGGTCACACTGTGACCTGCCTCCAATCCTCCAGCTCATCTCATCTTGGGCACCTGCACGTGTGCCTGGAGTGTTTAGGCTGACACTGACAAGGGTAGGGGATTCAAACTGTGGTTGCCATAGGGGATGCAGCTTCTCCTCATCAGCATATTGTAACTGAGCCATGAAACTAGAGCCACAAATTACATCTTTACATATGTGGGCCCATTTACATATAATTAATAATTAATTTTGTGTATTTGTCTTTTAAATCCTGTACAAAATAAAAGAGAAGTTACAAACCAACAATACAGGCTTTTACCTATGTAGATATATTTCCTGATGTTCTTTATTTGGTTCTGAATTGCTGGCCTAGTATATTTTCATTTCAGCCTGAAACAACCCCTTTAATATTTCTGGTAGGACACATCTATTAGCAATGAACTCCATTAGCTTTTGTTTGTTTGGAAATGTCTTAATTTCTCCTTCGTTTCTGAAGAATCGTTTTGCTAGATTAAAAAAAAAAAGCTTCTGTTTTTCTCAAGCCCACTTTTTTAGATGGCAAGCTGTATATATAGAATTACAAAGAGGCTAACTTGCCAAGTCGATTCTCCACAATTCATAACACATTTTAATTTATTGAAGGTCTAAGAAGATAAAATCGTAGTGTGGGCAGAGATCAGTGTTGAGCCCAAAATAGAAGAGCTTTTCAGAAATTAGTTGATGATTGTACTTTGATAATTAAATATACAAACCTATGATCCTTTTAGGCTCACCTAATTAGTATCAAATGAGTTTACTTAATTACAGCTGTAAATTAAATGCATAGGGTTTGCCTCATCTCAAAATAATTACATGTGCAATGTAATGTGAATTATGGAACATTAATCTGCAGTTTATCGATTACTCCCCAAACAGACTTGGACTCATTAGGACAAAGTTATTATCATAGCAGATTTGATAAATAGCTCCTAGAAAAGGTTCCTGAATAATATATGCATACAAGTTCTTTAAAGGAAAGGTATACCTGTGTCCGTGTACGTGTACATGTGTCACAAAGCCCTGGTTCGGAAAAAGTGCTCCCTGAGGCATTTAGACAAGAGACACACATGTGCATACCTACGACACAGTATCGTCACATCCTCAAACTGCACAGAGCTACAACTTTCTCACGTTTATAGTAGAGGCTGTAGGTATCTCATAAAAAAGGATAGTTTAGCACAATGTTAAATAACTAAAGGTCAAACTACTTAATAAACCGGTTCTTAGTGTCCCTCAAATCAGAGGAAAATTTAGAAGAATTATTTTTGGAAGAAAGCTTTTTTTATACCTATTTTAACCAAGAACCACAAAAAAGGGGACAAAATATATCTTCCAGTCTGCGTATACTTCAGTAGCTACCCTTTTCCCCCCTTCCTTCTACGATTAAAAAAAGAAACCAAAAAACAAAAAACAGCAAGCATGAGAACAGAAAGTGAACAGAGAATTATTAAAGACATAAATACAGACTAATCACAAAGAAATACTACTTTAACTCTAGAGACATTTTTTTTTTTTTAAAGAAATTACTGTGTGGTTCAATTGGGAAGGAACAGTCTAGTCCAAATGGGGCTCATTCAAAATACAATTTAATACTTTCAAAACTTTTTTGAAGGGGAGGAGACTCTAGCCACAAATTAAAATATTTCAAATTAAATTTCATGAATAAGTATTAGATTTTTCCTTAAATATAAAATGAGTATTAGTAAAAATGTGAGATGTTCATGTTTAAAATGCTTTTGGGGCCAGATCCTTCCCCTTCATGCTTTAAATGTGCCCATTGTTTTTAACATTTTCTTTTTCCTGCTCCCTTGTGTGACAACTCCCACTGACCACACCAATAACCCTGACTGAGCTTATATTGTTTTCCTTCCTTTTTCTTCAATATTTTGCCAAA